AGGAGGTGTGTTAAGAACCTTGATGCCTGGAATATAAAATCTCATAAGGAGACTTCTGGTTTAATAAGAGAGTTGGCAAGATGTTAATGATGAAAACTGAATGAGACACTGCATAGCTCCATAAAGAATGTGGCAATGATGCTTGAAATGCTAGATCTCTAGTCACATTCATAATGTGTTGGTGCTTTCTTTCCACCAACCCATTTTGTTGTGGAGTTTCCACACAACTAGTTTCATGAATTATGCCTCTTTGGGAATAGAAATCTGACATTAAAAATTCTTTTCCATTGTCTGTTCGAATCCTTTTCAAAGACACTTGGAACTGGTTTTGAAGACATGTAATAAAACTTTGTAGAAGCTTTCTAGATTCACTTTTGTATACCATGAATCTAACCCAAGTAAAACGAGAAAACTCATCAACTAAGGTCAAAAAGTATCTATATCCTTGAAGAGAAGGAACTGAAAACGGTCCCCAAATATCCACATGCAATCTGTCAAACAGTTTATTAACATGAGAAGTGCTAATGGGAAAAGGAAGCTTCTTCTGCCTAGCAAAATGGCATATATCACACGATTTGACAGCTATATTAGGTACAAAAGGAAATTGAGAAGCAACATGCTTCAAAACACTTTCTGAAATATGGCCTAATTGAAGATGCCATAAGGAAGAATCATCTTTATTACATTGAAAAGAACTATTACAGTTCTGAAATCTTGAAACTGGTTTGGAAGAAACAGTATCCAAAACAAAAAGTCCTACCATTCGCTTAGCTGTACCAATCATCTTCAAAGTGACATTCTGCTTAATCACACAATGGGAAGCATGAAAAAGCAGAAAACAGTCAGTATCTTCAAGCAATTTTGTAACAGACAAAAGGTTAACCTTGAATTCTGGTATATAGAGCACATTCCTTAAACTCAGTGAAGGAGAAATATGAACACTACCAGAATATGTTGCAGTAATTGAGGATCCATTTGGCAAGAAAACAAAAATTGGCATAATCTTGTGTAAAGATGAAAAAGCAGATCGAATATAGCAAATATGATATGTAGCTCCTGTGTCAAGAAGCCATTTGGTTGAATGCTTACCAGTAATAGGAGAATTCTCATCAGCCAACCCAGTCTGAGCCATGTTGGTAACATGTGTAGATTTTGACTGTTGCATATAAGTCATGAACTCTTCGTATTTCTCTCTTGGAACAGGCATATGTGAGTTTGCTGTATTGTCTTGATCCACAAGCATTGCATTGCTTCCTTCAGTTTGTACTGCATTGCTAGTACCTTGAAATTGATTATTTCTGGTTCTGTAACCTTGAGGGAAGCCATGCTTAAAGTAGCATGTGTCAATAGTGTGGTTTGTCTTTTTGCAATTCGTGCAGTACTTGTTTCCTATGTTTTGTTGTGCTCTACCTCCATTAAATCTTCCTCTCCCTCTGTAAACGGATCCACGACCACGTGAATTTTCTGATGAACTCACAAAAACTTTCGCTTCAGTTACAGTTCCAGTATGTACATCAACTTGCAACTGTCTCTCTTGTTGAACAATCAGAGAAAAAGCTTTATTAATGCTTGGAAGAGGAGACATTAACATAATTTGGGAACGAACTTGAGCAAATTGCTCATTTAAACCTCTTAGGAACCTGATAACATGATCTGCATCTTTGTTTTCACGCATACGAATCAAACTTCCACAGGTGCAAGGTGGAATCGGTCTCAGGTTGTTAAGCTCATCCCAAAGTGCTTTTAAATTTGTGAAATAATCAGAAACAGATCTATCACCTTGACTCGTTTGATACAGATCCTCTTGAAGATCTGAAATTCGAAAATTATCAGTTTGTGAAAATCGATCTCTCAGATCATTCCATACCTCATAGGCTTGTTCGATCCATATGATTGATTGAACGATGGATTCTTCAATGGCACGATGAAGCCAAGAAAGCACCATCGTATTACATCTCTCCCACGCAGCAAATTGTGGATCGGTTTCTGAAGGTGCTGTGATGCTGCCATTAACAAACACCAGTTTGTTCTTAGAAATCAAGGCTACTTTCATAGCACGAGACCAAGCATGATAATTTTTCCAGTTCATCAATGGAGAAACGAGAACTAACGAAGGTGATTCATTTGGATGAAGGTAATAAGGATCAGAAACTTGTTGATTTTGATTTTGGTTGATGTGGATAGGTTGTTGATTTGGTTCTGCCATTATCAAGAACAGAGAGTAAAAAAAAAAAAAAAAAAGGTAGCGGAAGGTGGTAGATGGCCAGAGCTTAGAACTCTGATACCATCTTGATAATCTGGAAATGCTTAGAAAACTTCATTAAATCAAAAAGTGATTACAATGCACAATGTTTACAGTATTTATACTGAAGGGAAAGAAAAGAAAAGTGGTTACAGAGGAATAAGAGATGTAACTAACTCTTCTAACAGAAACTAAAGGTTGTTATCCTTTCTTTCCACGTCATCTATATTGGGATATAGCAACATTATTTGAGGATAAGTGGTGTCATATGATTTTATTTTATTTTTCTTAAAATTATTTTTCTGTTATTATTATGCTGCACAGGTACTTAAAACATAGAAGTTGTCCAATTAGTATTATTGATTACTATTGTAGGAATCTACTTTTCTAGCAATGACTGAAAATTCTTACTTCTTTTGTAAAAATTATAAAAAATAAAATGCTCTGAGGTGTCAGAACCCGATGTGTTTTTATAGAAAAATAACAATGAATTTTGCGAAATTAGTTTTAATAAATAAAAATAAATAATTTTTCAAAATTATCCATACAATTATCTTTTGTAAGTGTAGTATTGAACCAAAAAATGTTTAATTTATGCCAAATAATAACTAAGAGTACCAAAATTTAGTATGATATATATTTTAAGAAAAATGATCCGTTTACAATTTTTTTTTATAAATTGTTGCAAATTACACTATGTACTCCTGGGAAAATATAGTGTAACCTAGTGTTCTTCGAGAGAACATATTGTAATTTGTAAGAGTTTGTAAAGAAATAGTTTATAAATATAACCCTCCCCATATTTTAAAATAAAAATTTTTGAGCAGCAATTAGTTAAATTTTTATACATGAATTAGAGTTGTATAAAAATGATAGAAACAACTCTATATGCATAAATATTAGGATCTGTGAGGAAAAATCAACCTATTATTAAACAAGTATTCACGTTGTAGATTTTTCCAAACAACTTTCATAAATTCGATTAGTATATATGATTAGCATTCCGTGCTAACTTTATCTGCAAATAGTCACTTCATTGTGATCCCCACTTTTTTGGATATTTTTGGAATATCCCCGTTTCAACGAATCTAAGAGGACGTTTGGTTCAGGAAATTTTTTTGGAATAGTAAGAAAATGAGATAGATAGAGAAATGATTGGAAAGATAGATAAAGTGAGATAGTAGAAAAATGTAAAAAAAAGTTGTTTGGTGGGGAAAAACTTTACTGGAAAAATTAGGTAACTTTATGAAATCAACAGTGCATTAAAAGTCAGATAACCGGTTTTCCGAAAAATCCCACCTCCAAATTGAGTTTCTAAACAGTGCGGATATCTATCTTTCTCATAAATCCAGACAAATTGGATAGATGGGTTTTTGGTGAAAAACGTTAAAACAAACATGGTATTTTTAAAAGCCATACTTGAGAAAGATAGATATCCTCTAAAAAACTCCCAACCAAACACCACCTAAAAGCTATATAAGACAATCACTACTTGTAGTCCATTTTGCTTAATTTAGTTTCTTGTTAAATTGTGTTATATAAGATACTTCCTTGCACATATTGCTAACTTGAACTGTATGATTAGTTTACTACTAAAGGATCCTGTAGTTTGAAAAGACAATGATAACAGTTTTTTTAATTTGTACTTTTACTTTCTTCTTCTTAACTAAGTTAATAAGCCGTATCAATTTAAACTTGTAGAGATTCGATTCTTTAAAACATCATGTAATTCTTTATGAAAAAAAGTGGTCCATACAACAGAAATTAACCAAAGTGTTCTCAAAATTTGCTTGTCAATTGCCTATCATGCCTCGTATTTCAACTTTTCCTGTTTATTTTGAAATTGATATTTAAATTATTTTGTGCAACTTTTGCCTATTTTACTATGGGAAAAGTGTGTATAATTTTAAAGGATGTAAAGTTGTGTCATTTTAAGAGAGAGAAAGAGATAGATAAAGGAGGAGAGAGAGTTCACAAAAAAAAATAAAAGTGTGGGTCCCACCTCTTTGTGAGAGTGAAAGGATGTAAGTTGTGTAATTTAAAATGATAGACACTTTTCCCTTTTACTATTTGTTGATATAATGAACATATAACTATGCATTTAACCATGCATAACAGAGTACCCTGTTTTGCACTGTACAAAGTGCAGCAAATACAATGCTGAAGATAATTTCACAACCACCACAAGATATTCCATGCAAAAACAAATTTAAATGTGTTTTGAACATAAATTCAAAAGAATTTTGTTTTTCCCATCTCATTATAAGAGGGATGTTTGGGACATACAAATATGAACTCATGGGACCGTAGGTACCTAGTGTTATCTAGTTAGCCAAACAAACAAAAACTAAATATAAGGAGAAAGAGAACCCCATAGATGCATGCCCCTCATCTGAGTCACATGAAAATTGTCATCTCCCTTCATGAAAAGGGATTTAAGGTAAACAACACAAGCAAGTCCTTTAATGAACAGCTTGGTGTACAAGTGAAGTTGAACATTGTTTAGAAGCTTATCTGTGTAGCCAAACTAGCTTCCTTGTACGACTCATCCTTGGCGCATCCCTTGTATTTTATTGTTAAATTAAGACCTTTCTACCTTCACAATTATCCTTAAAGGAATACACTTCTTGCAAAAATCGCCAGTATTATATAATAGCCCATATTCTCCATACATTGACACTCAACAATGGGTAATTGTCTTACCACATGTTCTGGTGCAGAGAAACTCTTCAAGAAAAAGCATGCTCTCCCCATTGCCACCATATTCAAGCTTCCTGCTGAAACAAATGCTTGGCCACCAGGTATCCATTATATGATTGTCATTTCCTCTTCTTGTTATGATATATTCTAGTAAATGCAGAAGTATTGCTAATGCTGAATTGTCACATGCAGGTGATGGTTTTGCAAATGGAACCATTGATCTGGGTGGGCTGCAAGTGGCTCAAGTAACAACATTCAACAAAGTTTGGGCTGCCTATGATGGTGGACCAGACAATCAAGGTTTCACAATGTTTGAACCAAGAGTAATACCTCAAGGATTCTCTATGTTGGGTAGCTACAGCCAACCAAACAACAAACCTCAATTTGGATGGGTTCTTGTGGCAAAAGATGTGTCTTCAAGTACCACCAATGGCACATTAAAGCAACCAGTTGATTACACACTTGTATGGAACAGTGCATCTCTTTCCATTACCCAAGATTTCCCTGGCTATGTTTGGCTACCAATAGCACCTAATGGCTATAAAGCTTTAGGCCATGTTGTCACCACCACACCAGATAAGCCTTCCCTTGATAAAATCAGGTGTGTCAGGTCAGACCTCACTTACCAAGGTGAGACATATTCATGGATTTGGGGAACAGGCAAGGACAGTGATCCAAGTGGCTTCAATGTTTATGATGTGAGACCAAGCAATAGGGGAACTCAAGCTCCTGGTGTTCGTGTAGGCACCTTTGTTGCACAAAATGGTGGGAGTACTAGCCTTCAATCTATAGCATGTTTGAAAAACATCAATGCTAACACAAAATACATGCCTAATCTACGACAAATTGATGCAATACTCCAAGCTTATTCTCCATCTATGTACTTGCATCCTGATGAAGCATACTTACCTTCTTCTGTCAATTGGTTTTTCTCCAATGGAGGACTATTATACAAGAAAGGGCAAGAGTCAAATCCTGTCCCTATAGCACAAAATGGCACTAACCTTCCTCAGGATCCTAACAATGATGGTGCATATTGGCTAGACCTGCCTGCTGATGAAGCCAACAAAGAGAGGGTCAAGAAAGGAGATTTGCAAAGTTCCAAAGCTTATGTACATGTGAAACCAATGCTTGGAGGAACCTTCACTGATGTAGCCATGTGGGTCTTCTACCCATTTAATGGACCTGCTAGAGCAATAGTAGAGTTCATTACTATTAATTTGGGGAAAATAGGTGAACATGTTGGTGATTGGGAACATGTAACATTAAGGGTAAGCAACTTCAATGGTCAACTATGGCAGGTCTATTTCTCACAACATAATAAGGGTACATGGGTGGATGCCTCTCAGCTTGAGTTCCAAAGTTGGAGCAAACCTGTGGTTTATTCTTCCTTGCATGGTCATGCATCATACCCACATCCTGGCCTTGTTCTGCAAGGGACAAATGGAACAGGTATAAGAAATGATACTTCTAAGGGTGACTTAGTCATGGATATGGGGACATATGAATTGGTTTGTGCAGAGTATTTAGGATCTGCAGTTGTAGAGCCAGCTTGGTTGAACTATTTCAGGGAATGGGGTCCAAAAACTGATTACAGTATAGATGATGAGTTGAAGAAGGTGGAGAAGTTGTTGTCTGGGAAGCTAAAATCTGCTTTTGAAAATTTTGTAAAGAGTTTACCAAAGGAAGTGCTGGGAGCGGAAGGACCCACAGGTCCAAAGGTGAAGAATAATTGGAGTGGTGATGAAGCATGAACATTGTAGCTTCACTTACATTTATTCTCATGAACTTCAAAATTGATTTACAATAATGTTATTGGGTTCAATTGTATAAGTGGTTTCAATTTGAGTTTAATTGGAGATATACAAAAAAGTCAAATGAAACCAGCAATAGCTTTAAACTAGTACAGAACCTTATCAATTCTTCGTGTGCCAAATCAATATCAATTTTGATCCTTTCATTTTCCTTATTCATAGATTTTTAAAAAAAAAAATAAAAAAAAAATAAGCAACGTTACTTGGACCCACCATTATTTGTATAGGATATATTAAACTTGTTTTAATATCTATCTCTCAAAACATTAGAAGAAACAGAAGAAGATTGAAATATAGCTATGAAAACTTTTTTGTTTCTCGTTGATATCTTCTTACTAATAATTACACCATATTTTCACTTCGTATCTTATTTTTAATAATCTGTAAAGGTAGTTTTATTATTTTATCATTGTGTTCTGTAAATTCTCAAAAATAAAAAATTCAATTAAAAATAAAGTGATATTTTTAGAATTATTAGTGAAAATAAAAGCAACCCAACTTCAGCACCTGTTGGTGAAAACATCTTCAGTTAATGTTACCTACTTTGACTTTTTTCTTACTTTAATAAAACAGCACTAACTGTGGAAGTACCAAAGAGATTACATGTACGGTCTTTGATGCAAGGGGAGATGTGAACATAGAAGAAAGGAGGGGCTTTAACTGAAAACAAGAAGTCGAAAAGAAAGCGAACGTGTAATTGAGGTATAAGGTTGTTTTGTCTTTAAAACTGTTAGAAACCTTTTCTTTGACGCCCCGGCCTCTAATTGAGTCTTCATTGGTTGTTCATCAGTCATCACAGTTTGGTTCCGATCCTGTTGTATTTAGTCACTCTATTAGTAATTCTAGCATGAATCATTTCAAAAAAGTTCGTGAAATTTATAATTGTTGTTAATACAATAACGCTATTGTATTTTGTGTTGTTTTATTGGTGCTTTAATTCTTGCTGAGGAGCCATTTATTGTTAAGCAGGGTTTTTTTAGTTTTCATTTTCTCTTTCCGAGGTTAGAAGTTTTTTATGTGATTTCTTTCTTATGGGAGTTCTTGGGAAAATTTTGTTGAGGTTGATAAACATTTTCTAGACTAATAAGAGTAGGGCTGAGAATAAAATAGCAAGCACCTAAGGAGAGTGAAAGAGTTAAGTTACTTTGAGCCTTTCGAACTAGTCCTGCTGGCAGCCTATGGGTGGATGGATAGTATAATTCAGTTATTAAGGGAGGGTTTAAAACCAAGGAATCAAGGATGGCTTGGAGGAAAAGAAGGCTTGTATTGGGTAGTACTGCAGAGTATAACCCAAATCTCTTGTATTATATATATAAAAAAAAAAAAAAAAAAATATCTCTTTTATTATGCTATTTTAGATTCAATACACTACTTCAACTTTGTCCTACCTTTTGGTCTTTGAATTACCAGTTCCTATCAGTTAGGCAGCATATAAATCCAAGATTATCAAAGAAAAAAAAAAGCCAAAATAAATAACAACACAGTACAAACAATTTTCAGAATCTCTATACGAAGTAAAAAATATATATTTATATATCTCACTACTATTGCTGTGTGTTACTGACAAAACCATTGATGTGTCATGCCACACATACGTGTGACTTGCCTTCCAAAATCATCCCAAAAACACCAGCAGAAGTTAAAGTTTCATATCATGCTCTAATAATATTATCTAGCAACAATAAAATTGACCCATTAGATTTCTTTAGGAGGATTAAACAACTATTAACAAGAAGCGTATTTCAAGAACCTCAGAACAAAGGATAGCAGGTTTCCTACATGATAAAATTCAGACACTCAAATAATTGGTCTAACGGCTGTTTTCAGATCATTCTATTGAGTTGTAACAAAAATGGATTCAGGAAGTACCCATGTATGATGTTGCCTGACACATCTTCCAGGAATACTAAGACCATGGTAATGCAAATGTGTGATGATTTATGTCTGTTTAAAACTGTTACAGTACACTAGTACAGTATGCAAATTTGCATACTTGTTTCGTTGCCATCATAGCAATGTGCAATACTACTCTTAAAAGAATAAACACAAGTTCAAATATTTCGCAAAACCATTCATATACTTGGAATTAAAACCATTAGTTTTAGCTACTAACAGAAAAACAACCACTTCACTGAACAAAAATATCCAGACAGATTTTACCCCATGATGAATTGTAAAATTGAAACTAGCTCAATTGAAGAACCTTATTGTATATAATCGGCAGAATAGCTCCAACCAATGATTTGCATGTCATAGTTATTGTGGGTTTTTCCAATGTAAGCACTAGAGGAAACACAATATTCAATAACACAATCAATTTCCTTTGACATCTATCCAAATATCCAATCATGATCTATGTGATAGAACTGGACCAGAAAATGAGGTAGAAGTGCAATCTTAACACAAAACCTATGCTACTGCAGTTAGAGGGCTAACTAACCATCTTAAAGCCTTTAACTAACAAGGCCTAACTAAGAGAGACTCACCCACTTGGCTCTTAGGCCCTTCCTTATTCTAATGCTGGAGCAGTAATCAATTGGCTAAACAGAAATAAGAACGAACACAAGGATTGCGAGAAAATACTATTCATCTTTTCTTAATTTTCTTCAACCAAAAACAACCTAATAACAATAGGGTTCTCCGAGCCTTAAATAGGCAAAAATAAAATAACAAAAAAAGTAAATAACTATAATCATGCGCAATCAAAGAAGATAACGCACAATCAACGCACAGTCAAACATAATCTAAAATAACAAAAAGGAAATAACTAGCAATTATTAAAATTCCCTAAATAAAGAAATAAATAATGGAAAAGCCCAAACCAAGCAAGTCAGCTCGGGTGCATCATGTTCTTCCACTTGAAAAAGATTCACCCTCGAATCTGCTTCGTCTTCATTGATATGAACTTCTTCAGGTGGTAACCCAGGTGGTAACTCTTCTGGTACAATATCACCAAATCTCCTAATTAAGATTAGGACTTGGAAGTGCAATTCTTTGATATGCTTGGTATATTCATCTGTAGTTTGGATCAATGATCGCATTTGTGATCCGTCATAGGAAAACTTTGTCTGATGTACCAGCAAGTACCATTGCCCTTGACGATCTCCAATTAAACTTTTACCAAAAGCTAAATCTTTATCTCCATGGAGCATAAGGTTGTTATGCTCGTTGTTGTAACATCCCGTCTCGAGCCGGTTCAATTAACATACATATGATACAAACAGAAACAATGGAAGACTTAACTTACGAAAATACGAGCTAACTTTTTCTTTTTCTTTAATCCTTTTTCCCATGACATAACACATTACATACTTCTTCTAATTTAATTCTTATTTGACGGAGATGAAAATCGGACAAAGTAACCTCTGTAAATCGGACAACTGGGGATTTGCAAATCTCGATCTCAAGGGTTCCTGATAAACAATTTATACCATATAGGATTCCAGAAACACCAACTATCCATATAGGACTATATACCCATCCAGGGGCGCATGCATAACTTGGCTCCGTGCCACTATGTCTAACAGCATGCAAATCCAACAGGTAAGCATATAACTGAATACTACATCGTAATATAAACATGCCTGAATACATAATTGTACATGCATCAAAACAGAAAACATGTACAAATCATATACAGGCCATATACAAAATGAAGGATCAGACATCATGATCCACCACAAAATAATGGAATACGAAACAACATAAATATACTCCAAAATACAGTAGCCTCCAGCTACTCAAAATCGGGTCCGTCGAAGCACCCCTAACCACGGGTCGTGTCCCTGCCTAGTGGGGGCTCATCGGGGATCTGAGAACCTGAAATGATGTCCCCAAAAAGGGGTGAGATAACAAATCTCAATAAGCTCCAGGTTTATAGAGATTTCTCCATACCCTTGGGTTCACTCCTGCATGAAAGTCAGATACAGAGTATACAAAGCAACATATAACAGATATCATCACTAAACAAAACATATACACATATCTTATCAGAGGCGTACGCAGTCATTCCCAAGGGAGGACCCCAAGCGGAAATCAACGCACGTGTTCCTAATGGAAGACCCCAAGCGGAACCAGAACATATCAGAGGCGTACACCGTCAGTCCCGAGGGAGAACCCCAAGCAGACATCGGTGTACAATACAATCAATGGCCAAAGATCAATATAGAATTCACATCAACACAAATCATATCATGTTATCAAATAGCTCTATATGAATGCATCTATACAAAGCATCAAAAACAATCATACAATCCAACCATAGTTCACTAACCATGGTGGAGAACTCAAGCAAGAAAAGACTCCTTAAACATAGAGCTTACCTCTTGAAGCTTTACCAATCCGCTTACTTGTAACACAAGTTAGTTATATAGCTTCAACAGGATCCAAACCCTTTTCAGTCCCTAGGCACACCTAGAGAAAGAATCCAAAACAAAAATCAATAAAACGATACCATGCCGAGATTTTACATAAGGCATACATTTTATCGCTTACTTTCGTTTCATTACATTTTTGCCAATCCTATGCCAATACACAAGTCCAGACCATACTTTCATAAATTCTCTTATTAGACCATTTTCCAACATTAATCACACCTTATCCCCAAAGACCCTAAATGGCCGAAACCAAAGTTAGGAATGGCTAGGAATTTGCAACAATTCAATTAACAAAACCAATAGTTCCTAGAACCCTCACTTGGCTCCTAATTTAACTAGGTATCCGCTTGAAAATTTTAAACATAATTCATGCCGTTTTTCTTCATAAGGCCGTGGACATAATTCATCCTTAAATCACCCTATAGGCCGAAACATAGGTGTACAACACCATAGAATTTTTCCCACTTTGGTATTTTCATTTTCACACTTAAATCCCCATTTACACCAACATACCACCTTCACAATCCATGTAATTAAATTTTTTGCACAATAAACCCTACTTAA